TTGGTTAGAATAGATTTAGTTCTAATGGCCCATACAGGTAACACCCACGCAAATGACTTAGAGTTGACCACGCCCACCCAGTCAAATGACCACCAAGCCATGCCCAGCCAGTCACATGACTACCAAACCACACCCACAAATTAAGCCACGCCCACAGAACCATTTGTTAAGAAATGTGAATCCCATCCCTGCTTGTAATGGTTTATAAACTTCTGTCAGTAGCCCATCGGGCCCTGCCGTTTTATTATCATTTTGTCTCTTAATCGCTTCTGTTAATTCCATCATAGTTATTTGTTCATTCAGCATGACTTTAACTGTTTCAGGTACTTTAGGAAGTTCAGATTGTTCCAAGTATTGCTTTATTCTATTTTCAGGGATTTTCTTCTGATTATTCAGTTTCCCATAATCCTCTTGATTTTTTTTAATCCTCATTTTGATAATAAAGGGTCACTTTCTCATCTATTAGTCAGTCTAGTGTTTTTTCCCCTCTCTTTTTTCAGTTTATGCCAACCATCTTCCTGGTTTATTCACATTTTCAAAAAAGTTTTGTTTTACACTTTTGATTTTTTTGTGCTAATTCTTTTTCCAATAGGTTCATTTTATGCTTTGTTAAATCTATTTGATTTTTCAACTTCTTTTTTGTGGTTCTTTGTGTAGTTCTAATTCTAGTCTTTTTATGTTCCTCTAACATTTTTTATTTTGTTCTTGTTTTCCTTTCCCATGTAAGTTATGACTAATCCCCGGGTATACGCTTTAGTGGTATCCCATACTGTTTGCAAGGAAGTCTTTTCTTTCCTATTCTCTTTAAATAAAAAGTCCAGTTCTTTTTCCATACTTTGTATAAATTCCTTATCTTGCAGTATTGCTTGGTTCAGTGTCCATCTCAATTTTCTTTTTTGTCCTTTCCATCAGTGATGAGATTCAAAATTTTTTACTACCGGTTCTGTGGGCGTGGCTTGGTGGGTCTGGCAGGGGAAGGATAGTGTAAAATCTCCAGTCAGAAGTGGTATTTGCTGGTTCTCCAAACTACTCAAAATTTCCACTACCGGTTCTCCACAAATGGTGAGAACCTGCTGAATATCACCTTTGCTTTCCATGCAACTTTTGCTGGATTATGATCTGCCCAAACATTGGGTTCTATTTCTATCTCTTGTACACATGTTTTCAGTTCTGATGACATCCAAACCATATCTATTGACCAAGATTTATGTCTATTTGAATAGAATGAGTAGTGGTTTTTCTTGGGATGTGTTTCTCTCCATACATCTTGGGTTCCTATTTCTTCCATCATTTTAAAAAAAGTTTAGGGTGTGTTTTCCTAGCTTTTTTACCTGTTTTACTACTCTTCTAAGTTCTGTATCTACAATTGCACTGAAGTCTCCTACCACACAAATACCTACCGCACAAGACAGGGATGTCTACTGTCCCCTCTACTATTTATATTGACCTTGGAAGTATTAACTAGAAACATTAGACAAGGTAAAGGGATAAAAAGGAATGGAAATAAAAAAGAGAAATATAAGTTACAGGCCTTTGCAGATGATTTGGTGTTTATATTAGAAGATCCTGTAGAACAGGGGTTGCCAACCTTTTAGACCTCAGGGACCACCAAACTCATAATTTTAAATCCTGAGGACCACTAATATAAATTTTTTAAAAAGATAATATATTTAATATAAATTTTTAATTTTTATATTAAATATAAATTTAATATTAAACATAATTTTGATATACATACATACATACATACATACATACATACATATATATTCTTAAGTTTTCGCGGGTACTTACATGTATGGCAAACAACCCTGAAAATACCCTGAACA